CGATAATTTTTTTTTACAATATTTTAACATTATTTTATTATGTGATTGGTCTATGTTGGTGTTTATGATTATTATTATTGATCGTGGAGAATTTTGCACTAATCACGTAATAACACGTAGATGATGTTAAAATCTTGTAAAAAAAAATTGTAAAATATCATTATCTTTTACATTTTACCTATTCAGCATGTGAGATATCAGTGTTTCGAATATCAGTTACAAAGTGAAGGTGTAAAACAGGCGCAGTGGAAAAAGCAATAAAGAAAACCACGTTTTCAATACAAAACTTACAGAATATATATAAGAGATTTCAATATAATAGTTACTGTGAAATGGAGGTGAGTGAATACTAACGAGATAATAATGTTGTAGAATTACTGTAGTGAGGTATATGGAGATTTGCAGGTGAAACTGTTGAGAATAGGAGAATTTGTAAGAGTGGGATAGTTTTACTATTTAAGGGGGACAGATTGCAGATAACATAAGTAGGCATTCTGGGAAAGTTTTGGGAGTGAATATGTGAAAGCAAAGGAGGGTTGACATCATGTCATGCAAAAGAAAGAAACATGCAACTATGTTTGAATTGGGAATCAGAAGATGTTAAATATTTTACGTGGCTTTATGTGACCTATGGTCAGTGAGACAACCAAGTAATGAAGCACAACACAACAACACTGCATTATGTAGGCTGCTTCCCCCAATGACAGTAAACAAAAAGAAGAAGTGGTGCCACTGCCTCCCAAATGTGAGACTCTCAGAGCTGTCAGATGGGGATGGTGGGGACTGCGTTTTCTCATCTCTTCAACATCATAACACATTTTTTTACCACCTTATTCTCCTCAATTTCCCTTTCTTCTCTTCTACATATTGTCACACACACGACACTAACAAGGGACACAGGCAAAACATGCACATTTGGATGGGACAACAACACTTAATACCAACAACTCAACAAGACAGAGATAGATAGAAAGAGAATGCTACAAAGTAGAAAGTAGTAAATGCTAACCAGTACTGTATGGCCTATTGTTATGAGGGATGTTTCCCTCCAACCATCTGTTTGTGAAAATGGAAGCTGAGTGCTGTGCAGCCTCCGGCAATTTCGCACGCACCCATGTGATCCATTATGCTCAATCCACCACATATTCGTATACTCCTACCCATCTTTTGCTTCTCTCTTCTTTCATCAACCTTTCTTTTATACTCCTTTTGCTTATACTATATGCATGCCACACCATTTTATTAACTTCTCCACTTTAAAACCCTTTTGCTGCTTCCATTCAAACCCAGTTTCAGCTGCTTCACGTTCAGCAGATGCCATGAAAAATTAAGTCTTGCTCTCAAACTCCACGTGTGGCCCTTTCCTTTATCAAATCGAACAAATACAATTCATCGAATAGTCAACTAATATCTTATTACCGACTACACACTACCTAATTGCCTTCTTTCTCAACTAAAATCAAACTTAGATATCATGATTAAACAGAAAACCACGCTTCCTCGTAATTAATTTTAAACAAATGTGATTAAGAGTGGACTAATCGCGAGGGAGATAGATAATATTTATTTAATTACCACTGCCAGTTTTTAAAAATAAATAGGTAAATATTATACGCCTTATTATAAACATAAAAACATTGAATAAATTTTGAAACAGCTGAGATATAATTTAATATGAAAACATTAATTAACAGTAGAGAGCATGATAAGGCTGACTACTTTTGTGGTTAGTTTGTCATAGGAGAAAGTTCTTACTGGTCAAACACTAATCAATGTTTGGTCATACGCTTTTTACTCTTTATAATAAACTATTTTTTTACTGTCTAAATTAAAATTAAAATATCGCACAAATTAACATTTTCATGATAATAAAAAAGTTTAATTAAAAGAAATAAATATTAATGAATAAGAAGAAAAGTAATTAAAATTTGTTTGTGTTTAAGTTAATTTTCTTTTCTTATAAATGAGATTGGAGAAAATACTTTCATTATTGTTAATTAACAATTGAAGTTAATAATGAAAGTCAAGAACATTATTAGCTTTCATAGATACATTAACGATATAATTGTGGAGCAAAGTCAAATGCTTTCGCTAGACCAATATGTAAGCCGTACATGCATTATGTTTTAATGATGAATGACACCTTTGTCAGTAATCCAGTGCTTTAATGCTTTTTCAAGAATTCTCGGATTAAATTGAAGTAATTGCATTGCACCTGAAGATGGCAGTGATCAATTGGAAGTTTTTGTAATTTGATATCGCAGTTACCTAAGAAGGCCAAGAAACTAGCATAATCACAATTTCACAAAAACCAAATAGCTATTCCGTTGTTGGAAATTGTTCCCCGCAGAATACACTGACTTTCCCACGTATTTAAGTAATTTTCATCCATACAATGGCATTAAACCTGAGCACACGTAACATAAATATACATTTTTTACCAAAGAGATTGGAAAAGTATGACATGTTAAGAAAAGTATAGAAAGGTTGTAAGATTTTAGGTAATTAGAAGAAACGAGAGAGGTGAGTCATGAATGACTGTTGCAAAAGCATGGAACTTGACATCAACCCTCGTCTTTCTTTTTTTTGTTATTAATAATTATATAATAAAGGAAGAGATGTAAATATTTAAAGAGGAGGTAAAAGAGTTGAAATCTCTATTTATACAAGGGTGGCCTTCCTGGACTTGTCATTCAAACTTGGTAATTATTAGTTTCGTGTATCTATCTATCTATCTGTTCACACACTCTCACTAACTCTGTGGGTGGGAGTGTTTGTTTGGGTCATCCCACACATAACAGAGTGAGGAGTGCGAAGTGTGAAGTGCAAGTTGGTAGAACTAATCCATTGGGATGGGATCAAAAGCAGAGGGAGGAGAATACACGATGATGGAGGCAGCGGAAAAAGAGAAGCAGTGTTGGGGAATAAGGAGAGAAGTGAAAGCGCTGATGGAGCTAGCGTTTCCCATAGCGTTCACGGCACTTATATTCTACGCGCGTTCCATGGTATCGATGCTGTTCCTGGGACACCTAGGAGACCTGGAACTGGCGGCGGGGTCCTTAGGAATGGCCTTTGCCAACATCACAGGTTATTCGGTGCTGTCGGGTCTGGCACTTGGGATGGAACCACTATGCTCCCAAGCCTTCGGCGCAAAACGCATGAACGTCTTGTCATTGACCCTCCACCGCTGTGTAATGTTTCTGCTACTCTGCTCCATCCCAATATCTTTCCTCTGGCTCAACATCTCAAACATCCTTCTACCATTGCACCAGGACCCTAACATCACCCGCATGGCACACACCTACCTCATCTTTTCCCTCCCCGACCTCCACACCCACTCCTTACTCCATCCAATCAGCATTTACCTTAGCGCACAAGGCGTCACCCACCCGGTCACCTTAGCGTCCCTGGCTGGAACCCTCCTCCACTTCCCCTTCAACTACCTTCTCGTCACGCGACTCCGCCTTGGCCTCGCCGGCGTCGCGGCAGCTTCCGCTGCCTCCAGCCTCTCCATCCTCCTCTTCCTCGCCACGCACGTGTGCCTCACAGGCATCCACTGCGCCGCGCCGACCCGGGACTGTCTCTCCGGGTGGAAGCCGCTGCTCCGGCTCGCCGCGCCGAGCTGCGTCTCCGTTTGCCTGGAGTGGTGGTGGTACGAGATCATGATAGTTTTGTGTGGGCTTTTGGTTAACCCCACTTCAACCGTTGCTTCCATGGGTATACTCATTCAAACAACTTCCTTTATTTACGTTTTCCCCTCTTCGTTGAGTTTTGCGGTTTCCACTCGCATTGGAAACGAACTGGGCGCAAATCAGCCTTATCGGGCGAAGCTTTCCACCGTAGTATCTGTTTTTCTGGCCGTGATTATAGGTTTCTCGGCCATGCTTTTTGCCATTGGAACGAGACGGTCTTGGGGAAGAATGTTCACCAATGACGAAAACATTATAAGGATCACATCCATGGCACTTCCGATCCTCGGAATTTGTGAACTCGGAAACTGTCCACAAACGGTGGGTTGTGGCGTGGTAAGAGGGACGGCGCGACCCAACACCGCGGCAAACATCAACCTGAGCGCATTCTATTTGGTCGGAATGCCTGTGGCGGTTGGGCTTGGGTTCTGGTTAGACGTTGGGTTCTGTGGGCTGTGGCTGGGCCTGTTATCGGCCCAGGTGTGTTGCGCGGGACTTATGTTGTATGTGATAGGGACCACGGATTGGGATGTGGAAGCCCATCGGGCACAGTTGCTGATGTGGCACGATGATGGAACGATGGATGAGCAGAAGCAAACGTTGACCAGCATTGTTACCGTGACGCCCTTGGCTTGATTGTTTGATGAAAAGCAACACCCCGTGTTGATGATGGGGTTTATTTTGTAATTTCACTGAGATGAAAGAAAGTGAATTATAACTGCATTTTTTTTGCCTCTTTTTTCCCACCCATACGGGAACTGGATACATACAAAGAGAGGATAACATAAAGGAAATTATTGTGTGTGTTTTGACATTGTTTTGTTATTATTTTAGTTACAGGAAATGTGGCGTAGGAAAAAAGATATGAGTGAATAGGAAAAAATTGGTGATGTGATGAAAATAATAAGATTATAGAAAAATTTGAGAATATTTTTGGTGTGAAATGGGTAAGGCAAGCACAAAGTGATTGTGAAAGGGTGTGGATCCGTGGTCCTTGGGAGTGGAATAAAGAAGTGACACCTGGGTGGGTGCATTTGAGGAAATGAGTGAAGAGAAAGGCATGTTTGCATGGTACTGTACTCTGTGTGTGAGGAGCTCCCTTCTGTTAACTTTCGCCTTTATCTCTCGCCACTGCCACCGATAATGACCCATATTCCCTCTCTATATATTTTCTTCTTAACTTTCTTTAACAACAAACACAACCCTCCACACTAACTTTATATATTCAACTCTTTTTTTTTATTTACACTCTTCTTCGCACTAACGTCAAAATTACATTTTCTTTATTTTCTATCAAAACTACACATTCAAATTATTAAATAGAAACAATATGTGCGTCAACAAGAAAAGAGGAGAGGAGATAGGAGAAAAAAAAGAGGGTCGTATTTGTTGCAGTGTTAGTGTTGTCTGCATTAGGTTGGTGTGCAGAGCGTGGGTAGCATATGTCACAGAATCTTAGTCCTTCAATTTTGTTTTTTCAAACTCCACTTAAATATCTTTTAACTTCTTATCAAATTCTTTTTTCTAGTTTTTTTTTTTAATTTTTCTTTTATGTTTCATGTATTTCACTGATATAATTACTCTTTACTTATTGACCAATATATTTGATTTTCATTACATAAATTAAAACGACAATTCATCATCACATGTGAAACCACGTATATAATAAGATGCCTAATCTATTCAAAAGCAAATTTCATTTAAAATTATATATATATATATATATATATATATATATATGTGTGTGTGTGTGTGTGTGTCATTCTTTTTTAATTAACAGGTAAGTCGTACATGCTTGGATTGTACAACCTTTTTTCTTTTATAAAAAAAAAGTAGAAGTCGTCATGTTATATATTAATATTATATAAATGAAATATGTAAGCTGTATATATGGTTTACGACTTTCTTGTTATTTTATTATAACACAATACATATAAGTTGTATTGCTAACTTATCGTATGTTAGTGTATGTATGATCATCCTATCCATATTAGATACTCAGTGATTATTCAAATTATCTATCAAGTTATTACTAAATTCGCTCTGTCATAAATCAGACTACATATATTAATTTTAATGTTTATCAATTTAAAATTAAAATATGATTATTTATAATTAAACTAATTAAATTAATGTTAATTAAAATCTACTAAATTTATAAATAAAAGTGGGAGGTAAAAAATAATATTATACACATTTATTATTATATTGTTAATGGTAAAACATTAAATTAATTTTGATATCAAAATACTTTTTACATCAAAATACTTTTTACCGTACTTTTTCGATTTTAATATAGCACTTAAACTTTTGGACAACATTTGAACTTCAAACAACATCATACAATCTAAATCATTGACCTCAACTCTATATTCAAAACAATTATTTTTTTCTCTAAATATCTTAAATTCAAAATTAATATAATTCTTTTTCTTACTCGATTGTTATTTAGTCTTTTGCTATATAAATATTTATAGTACAAAACATACAGAATATTAAATAGAATATTTTTTTTTATTAAGTAAAATCAGCTTATGCTTTTTAACTTTAAACTATACGAGCTTTGAGGTTGATATGATAATACACCATTTACTCTATGGAAGTTCAGGCAGGTTCCATATAGCATTTATAATAAATCAGTAATTAAAAAAAACAAAACAAGTAATTTTGAAAATTTCAGGATACCTTTAGGATATTGCTCTGATTAATTAAAAAGATGTTACCAAGTCTGGTATTGTGAAAATTTGAAGTGGGCGTCAATCTTATCAATATAATGTAAATTTTATACGAAAAAGTAATTTGTTAATGAACTATTTTTTCACGGAAAAATTAATAAATTTTTAATTTGAATTGATTAAACTAAGCACGCCCTTTAAATCAAATCTAAATCTTATATTAAAGCTAGCTAGCATTGTGTTTGACTTTGTAACAAAGTCGTATAATATTTTTTTAGTAAATGTATATTTATTTCTTATGCATGTAAGCAAAGTATGTAATTGACTACGTAAGTTATATCTATTTGACTTCACTTAATTCCTTTTTTTTTAATTTAATTGAACGGTGGACATTACATATAAAAAATTTTAGATGACATAATTGGAGATGACAGAGGATTTGTTAAGGGCTGACCAGGAATATTATGGCCTTGTGACTATTGGACTTATTGCATGGTCGTTGCTAAACTTTATATCCAAGGCTCAATCTAATAATTGTATTTACCAAACTATTAGTCAAAACCTTTATAAAATTAGCAGATACACCACCAAAAAAATATAATATATTATTTTGAGAAGAACCGTATTTTATATTTTTAATCACAAATGGTAGTTGTAAGTACTTAGTTTTTTTAAACATTTCAACTGACCACTCCTTTTGTAATTTCTTCCACTTTTTATCACAAAGTCAATTTCATCCTAACCTAATTATATATATATATATATATATATATATATATTTATCTAAGTGCTAACGGTTTAACTTATCTATTAATTGGATAATATGATCGACTATTATTTTATTCTTTTTTTCTTTTTTCATGTATTAAAAAGTACTTTCATGTATTAAAAGACATAAAATTATAATTAATACTAAAATGATATCATAACTAATAATGAAAAACGAATTTAATCTTTTTTGTTCAAAACTTGTTTGATAATGAAATTATGGTAGTTTTTGGTTATTTTGTAAATTATTATTTTAAGGGTGTGTTTATTCTTTAAGATAGATTTGGAAAAGTAGATTTGAAGAGTAAGAGAGGTGAAAGTATATATGATAATGAAATTGTGGTAGTTTTCGATTATTTTGTAAATTACTTTTAAGTGTGTGCTTATTTTTTAAGATAGAATTGGAAAAGTGGATTTGAAGAGTAAGAGAGGTGAAAGTATGATTACTTGGATTAAGAGAAAAATGATGAAAAATGAAAAACTTTAATATAAAAGTTTACAAAATTAGTCAGTAATGTGATAGATTTGATAGAATAACAAGAACATATTAATTGATAAAAATGAAATATTATTATTTTATATTTTATTTTTCCTTATAAAATAATTTAAAACAAAATATAATTATTGTGAATTATATTAGAATGGAACATGAGTTATCATTTAAAGTAAAAAAAATTAAAATTAAGAAGTTATATTAAATTAAAATAGACTTGGTAGATATCAAGTTAAAATAAAATGATTGTGAGTAATTTAAATAGTCTAATGTGAGTTATTAAACAAAATGACATTTTAATATTTTATCAAATAATTTATGCGTATATATAGTTCTCTCTTTTTCTAGAGTAACAATTAAGCAAGGTAGGTGATTAATATATAGGATATAATATTAAGTAGATTTGTTTCTAATGATTAATTTGAAAGAGAGTGGATAGATGAATTTGTGGAGATAAAGAGATAAAAGTGGTGTTATTTATTTTAAAGAATTAGGAGATGTGAAAGTGAAAATTTTCGAAAAAGAAATTTATGAAAATTTGTGATGATTAAAATAATGTTTTAATAGATAAAATTGTTAAATTACAGTTTTACTCATATGATTAAAAGTAATATAAAATAAAATATTATTATTATATTATTAGTTTTAGTATTATTATTATAATGAATATTACTGTTATTATTATTAATTATCTACCAAGCAAAGAGCACCACTTACACATCTGGAGGAACAATTTGTGTTACATTTTTGCTGCTACTGTAAATAACAATCACATGTTACATGTATTTCTTGATGGCCCTCTTTCTGGATGTCAGTTTCATTCATCACTATGAGAATTTGATACTGTTTAAAAGTCATACTATAACCAATTATACTTCCTTGCATAATATTCTTATATTGTCTTTCATGCTCTATTTTTCAATTTAAAAAATTTTGAATTTTAATATTGTTAACTTGGGATCTTCATCATAACTTAACATAGGAAATAAATTCTTGCTAACGTAATATGAGATGCTTATGATATCTTCATTATTTTTTTATCGCGTAAAATATTTACAATTTTTTTATTAATGTTTTAATTAAATAATTTAATAATGTTATAATTATAAATTTTAATTTAATATTTTATTATTAAATAGAGCTCAAAATTGATGGTCTGAGAAAAAAAAAATCTCATTAATTCAAACAATAAGAATAAGGATTGTCAATTTGAATAATTATACTTACTTAATAACTAGGCAGCTAGTTACAACATATGATAATTAAAGCATAATATGCTTCTCAAATGCTACCCTTTTGCTCCCTTCTAAATCTTTTACCAAGCTTTACTCTTTCTCTTTCTCTGTGCCTAATAACTTTATCACTATAAAATGAAATAAAATGGGTATATTGAGTAACCAAAAAAGAAGCGTACATGCACGATTATCAATAGCATCTTCGAATGAAATTATATATTTTTAATAGTTTATAAGAAAATATTGAAGAAAAATAGTTATGCTTGATGATTTTTTTTTCACGAATTATACTTTTTTTTTAATTACCCCAACTATGCTTAAATCCACTTTAGGTATCAAAGTAGACTTTTACTATTATTTAAAAAGTAATGTTTTAATATAGTATTTTAATTTTTATTTCTATTGATTAGTTACTATATTAATTATTTTATTAAAATATTCTTTAAATTTAATTTATTATTTAAAACACAATAACAAAACAAAATAGGATTATTATTTTTTATTTTTATTAATATTTATTAAATTAATATTTTTGTTATTTGTTTCCAAAATATAAGAAGAAGGAATCTCATCAAAATTCGGTTTTTGTATATGATGCAAAATAAGGTGAAAATTTGATGTTTTTAGAAAT